CACCCGCAGTGTGTCAGCTCATCCATGTCAGATTCAGTTCAGGCAGGATTTGTGGCGTCAAGTCTTAATGGCTTCTCAGCGAGGTATGTAGTGTAGCTCCCCCTTTCAGAGAGTCCGATGAGGTATTCTATAAATGTAGTCTTGTGCATTCTTCACATATGAACTCTTGTTTAAATTAACAGTGATTCCTTGCACTTGTCACTTTGCTTCCTGAGAGAGATGCCCCCCCCCCTCCCCTCCCCAACTGCAGAGGGGCTAGTGTGAGGTTTGAGAACTATGAAGTGATGAGGACGCCATCCCACGTGACATTCAGCTCTGTGGCTGCAGAGGATGCAAAGAACAGATTTGGGTTGGATTCTGTAGCTGGGTTTAGGAATGCCTCAGCATCACCTCTCTGCCTCTGCGTGGCTGGAGACATGAGCTCGAGTGTACTGGGGCTTGTTGTTGGCGGATAAGAGCGGCTGTTCCCCCACCCAAAACGTTGTGCGCTAATTCTCTGACGACAGCTTGTGCGGACCTGCGGGGTAACTGCATTATGTGTTTGTACTTTCAAGCTTTGTAAAGTGATCTTCACTGGGGGGGCAGTTATTGTGAGGTATTTCTTTTTCTGCTGATCGACAGCATCTCGTCATTCACCAGTTTGAGTTCAGCAAGAGGTTACAGTGTGTTAACGGAACCTGAGCGACCCGGGCTGGAGGCATATTGCTGTGAGCTGGGTGCTCCATACGTGAGGTTCTACCGGTGCCACTTCCCCGACTTCCGCTGATTGCAACTAGTTCAAAAAGAATACAAAAATAAAGTTGATTCAGGTTAAATATACTACAGCTCCTGAGGTAAAGACACCACTGCAGGTTACTTGATTTGAGGTATGTAAAAAGAGAAAGAAAATAAAAACAAACTTGAAAACAAATTCATCCTAAAACACAAAATCAAAGAGACAACAAAATGGCAACAAACAAACAAAAAATGTCCTAAGATCAAACTTTTCAAGTTCAGTTGTGAATACACCTGTCAGTGGGTTTTGGCTGAGCTGATTGTGTTTAGCATGTACACTAAAATAAATGTGTGTGTGTGTGTGTGTGTGAGAATGTGTGTTGGATTTAATGCATAGCAGTGATGTCATGTAGCATTTCTCAGGCTCGGCGTTCACGACTGGACAGCCAAAAGGTTGACAGGGTTGTTGAGGTATTTGTTGTGCAACAGTTTCTTATTCATCCCGGTTTCTCTTTGTACTGTATATTCATGCTGGGGCCTCTCAGAGGAAGCGAGGCCTGGGGAACAGGTACAAAGGGAAGCTTGGATTAGGGCGACCCACCGGAGGCCGGCTCAGCTGGGCCAGAAGCCTTCGAGGATGAGGAGTTGGAGGCCGCGGGGCTCAGGTTCTGAACCTGTGGTCCAGAGAAACAGAAGCTCGTGCTGGTGCCAGCAGGGGAGGCTGAGACAGCAGCGGCGGTCACAGCGGGCCCTGGAGCCCCAGAGGACTTTTGAGCAAAGAGGGTTCCTGAAAGAAAGGAAGAAACATCATTATTAAAACTCTGCTTTTAGAATCACTAATATCAAAGCTGCTGAACCCCCGATACAAACCTGAATAGGTCGTCCCATTAACCTCCACTGACACGGTGATGCTGGCACTCCCATTGTTTGAGATGCTCAGAGACATGTCCTGCTGCTTCTCATCTGAAGAAACACATTATTAGTACTTCATTTTCAATCTAAATTCAGCAAACTTTGTAACATACAGCTAGCCAAATGATACACTTCTCCTTTAACTAAATACAAAAGCTTCATATTTTTTGCAATTTCCAAGTAATTTAACAGTATTTTCACAACCATGGCAACACTGACCTCTGGTGGTGGTGGTTGGGGCTCCCAGACGCAGGTTCATAGGCATCTGGGAAGCCATGGCCAGGAGGTTGTGCTGGAAAGCCTGCTGCATGAGGCGCTGCTGCTCCTCTGCCAGGCGGGCCATTTTCCTCTCCGGACCCTCTCCTCCGCCCCCAGTCTCCAGTTTTTCTCTGAGCTGCTCCAGTGTGGCGGCTCGGGCCAAACCAGCGACTTGCTGCTGACCCAGGGACAGCGCRAGGGGAGGCCTCGCTGCCATGAGCGAAGGGGTCAGGTCATCTGGAAGTAAAGAAAGACGTGGACTTTAAAACATGTCCGTCCCTGTCTCTCATTAAGAGGGAGCTGGGAAAAGGCCTAACAAAAAGACATTTTTTCTAAACTTTTCTCTAAAAATCTTCTTCTGTAAYTCTATATCCTACACCTCAAATTTGTTTTTTTACTGGTTTTACACCCAGCAGCGCAGGATCTAGTTATGCAAAGCAATGACAGCAAGAGGGGAAGCACAACCGCTCGGCATCACGTGATCGCGTTAGAAAAACGCAGCCCATCACTCAAAGCCTGGATACCGTAGGGGTCAACAGAGGAGTCACATACCAGCCAAAGTCAAAGCTACATCAGACAACACGGGGGCGTAATGACAGTGATCATCAGGACCCTCTTATTGTGAAGCAGAAGCTTCAAAGTCCAAGACATGTCCCTCTCAGTGTGGGAAACTTGTTATTTCTCAGTAAAAAGCAGAGGTCTTTGGACAGCCTCAGGCTCAACTGGTTTACACCAACTCCTAAACACCTGGTTGGACTACACAAGCAGGCACTGAAACTGCACACACACACAGCAAAACACAATGCATGGGAGGAACAGGACATACTTATTGGCACAGAGTTGTTTGATAAACAATGATTGTTTTGTATTTAATGTGTTTACGACAGAGCTATGATGAAACTGTCCAGGCCTGAAAAACATTTTGTTACTATTGCATAATTCTGCTCTGTGAGTAATTGTTTACTCCTGTATTTATTCTAGGATATTTTTATATATGTAATTTATAGATGTAGCCACAGGGGGCAGCATGTCTCCATCAATATTTATATCAAACCCATAAACACTCCAGCCCATATTATCACATGAAAGCAGTTAAAGTCTCCCAAGAAACCATTTACTCAACTTAAAATATATTCATTTATCCAGAGAACCTTTTTTCTAACTTCACAGATACACACAGATATCTAAAAGCCATTTACTCGCAGGCTGGCTGGTTTCAAATAGGAAACCAATTATTGAAAGCATGTTTTTAAAGAGAGATGGTTAAAAATATAATCCAGTTTATTTACGTCATCAGATAAAGAACTCAATCTTCTAGGTAATTTTGACAGGCTGACTGTGCCTGTACCTTTCTTCAAAGAGGGTCCTGGTGAGGCCTGCAGACCGTTGAGGGTCACTGAGCTCCCTCCACCCAGACCGGACAGGTGCATCTTGGGAGGTGAGAGGATGTGTGGAGCTGTGCTGGGAGAGGGTGAGAAGCGGAACAGGCTGCTGCTGTAGCTCGGACGACGACCCTCGCGCCGATTGCTGTCGATGGCGGCCTGCAGCTCGCCTGGGGAGCTCAGACCTTTCCTCTCGCACTCGTATGGGTACAAGTATTTCATGTACCTTAAGAGGAACACAAACACACACAGCGCAGAAGATCAAGGAAAGTATTAGCATTAAGACTATAGTACAAAACAACAGTTTCAAAAAGAAACATTCACTCAACTTCCTGAATTTACAGTATTAAAGTGTTTCAAGAGCACATGCATTTTACTGCAGGATGTTTTCACACCGAACAGCTCTTGTTCAGTTGATCACATATGCATTTCTCCTCATATTGACTGTTTAAAACAAATATTTATGATAACAACTACCACTTCTTGGTAGAAAATGTGGTTTCACACATTTCAAAGTGCCACTGGACACCTGGCTATGCAAATAAGATATCTACTGAAAAAAATCTAGGTGTATCAGTTGTGTTTCTTTACACTCACTGCAGTTTACATAAAGTTTATACTGGCAAATTGAGCTAGATTTTTTTTCTTTCCCAATTTGCTGTCCACCTGCATTAAACACTGCTTCTAATGAAGAGCCATTCAACCTGGGTGGACGTGAAGTGAACGCAAGACGAGGAGTAAGATTTCTGCCCAACATGCCGTGACTGTCAACATACAGCACATTTAACACATTACAGTAGCAGCTCTGCACGCTCTGTTATGTTTTCCATCTCATAAATGAACACACTGTAATATGCACGCTGTCTGCATGATGGTAAAAAACCAGTAGAGAGGATCAATAAGAAGCAGGCGCAGCAGCATCTATTAGACAAAACTAGTGGAGCATTGCTACACAACAGGCTGACCCCATTAAAAACACATGAAGGTTCATCAGGAATATCTGCTGCTGAAGGAGATAGAGAGGTGTTACTTCGACTGAAGGGTTTCCATCAAGAAAATGAGAGATTTACTCTTGGCTAAACATATAAGCTGTCAGTCAAACCTCACCTTAGTCACTGTGTACCCCTGACCCAAATCACATCAATAGATCATGAGGATCAATGGGCTCTGTGTGTGATGTAATGCTTGGAAGGACTGAAAGTGAGGAGGGAAGGAGGGGAAARCAAGCTTACACACATATATATGAACACAAAGGCAGGCGTTCGCATTGACGTTTGCACTCATACTGACACACATACACTGTAGTTGCATGTTGGCAGAGTTTTTCTTTACACCTCGACAAGGAGCATCTCAGTCAATAGGCACAACTCATTACACTGCCTGTGTAGACAGCTGAACTGATTAAAACAGGAGCAAATCTGTTCTAAAAGACTTGCGTCACATGTAAACAGCTTAATACTACACATGCGTGACGAATAAGATATCTGGTTTAAATACGACTCACTTGACATTCTTGATTTTGTTCCAGTAGATTCATTTAATATTTATCACAAAGAAACAAAAACTCACTGTGTACGCAGGGTAAAAGCAGCACTGGTGATGGATGTAGGCAGGTTGAGTCCCTTTGTGATTTCTCTCCAGATCTTCTTGTTGATGACCTCGACAAGGCCTCCTTTCTCTGTCACCAGCTTGTACAGCATATACAGATCCAGAACCTGCTTGGCCATGATGGGAATACGATTGACGGGAGTTCCTATACAGATAAATGGAAAATAAAATGAATGTAGCATCAATCATATAATGTATTTTCAATAACTTGAGGCCCATGCAATGGCTTAGAATGGAAAAGATGTGGTGCATTTTACAGAAACAACAAAGAGAACTGTGACACATTAGGTCATCCACAGATCAATATTAAAACGCCAAAGATTATGCTGTGACCTCTACATCCTGATCTAAGTGCTGTTGGGATGTTGGTAAGATGAGGGCGGCGAGCCGGCAGCCTGCCTGCCCTATTAAATTTAGCTTGAAAACATATTAGCCCAGTTAAGGCAATCTGGCTTGACCTGGAAAAGGGGATTCACAAACAACACAAACCAAAGCTGCTCTGGACTTTTGATACAGATGCATTAATCTTGTCAACAGCTTATCTGCACTGAAGCTTGCGGGAAACGTGAACGGAGGAGGTGGAGGCGGAACAACAAGGAGGGAGGGGTCTGGGGTGGTTCCCATGTCCACCAGAATCAAAAAGTGCAACGTGCAATAGTGTTAACATGAAGCGGGAGGAGGGGACTGGAGACCGGGACAACCTGCTAATCCATGGGCTACAGTGGGCGGGTGGGGGCTTCAGGATAGGCCAGTGTAATGAAGCTCATTTAGAGGATTGAACTGAGTAGATCCACACCCCTCTGTGTTAGTGCTGCTGGACCCAGAGCAAAGGAATCGTACAGATTTACCCTTATAGTTAATGCCGACCAATCCTTTTCCACCTCCACAGGTTGCACTTAACCTGGGCTCATTAATGACTTATAAAACAGCAGCGTGATTAGGCCACGAAGATTAGCCCTGATTCATTTTCTTAAATTAGCTACATGTCTTTAAGCCATGTGCAGGGGGCCTAAGTGAGCACATGGGTCTGTGGASAGCGAAGATTAGGGAGGTGTGATGAAGATGTCAAAGCACCGTGACTTTGACTTCCTCACATGCCTCACTTATAATCAGGAAACAAATGTTTTTCTAACTGCTGTGTTGACTGAAAACCATTATTTAGGTTGCTCTGAAAATAATTAAAACCATGATGTTGATCAAGCCATATAAAAAAGTTAGATGGAAAAAAAAGACTGTGAAGTTGTTTGGCTGAAGTTCATGGCAGCTCTTTATGTCAACTGGACAAGCCCCCCAGCTATTAGCGAAATACTAAGATAGTGGAGGTGAAAGAGAAGGAGGAGGGTGTGAGGATTTGATACGTCAGYGCTATGGAATGAGGTGTTTTTATGCTGTGGAGTGGGGTGTAACTAAAACTGGTTTTGACGTGTGTTTCTCGCAAAATTTTATTATTTCATAATTTCACAAGAAAACAATGTTAAAACATTCAAACAACAGAGGAAGACAGGATGGAAAGTAAATATATATTAGAAAATACATATACTGACAATATGGGAGAGAGACTCTGCTAGAATTATGATATTTAATCTCTTCCCACTCAGCTTCATTTTCACTAATGAACACAAGACTGAAACCTATCGCTTCACTCAGCAGACCAAGGGGCAGGGAACAACCTGGACAATAACCTTTTGTTTTGTAAATGTCCAAATTTTCTGTTTTTAATAAACATGTTTATTAAAAAAATTGAACATCGTATCAAATTTATATGAAACTTGCAATGTATCTATAGGTATAGAAAGTTCTTCAGAACAGATTGTGTTTTTAAATGACCAGGATCGCTGTAAGTGCTTTGTCAGTTATCTAATTCAGTGTTGGACATCAATCCTGCATTAAACTATTAGAACAACTACAGGGGTCAGAGATCAGCCAGGGGTTATTGATGTGTGAATTAAACTGCAGGTCAGCAGGAAGCCATGTTTTCATACAGGCTTGCTTGTGAACAATGACAGAACAACAAATGAAGCACAACGGCAATGGCCCCTAGAGTGACAGGCCAGCAGTTAGTTAGCTTCCAATTCATGCCCATGCTTTTGTCACCATCTGCTGTCAAATCAAAATTTGATTTTATGTATGAACAGAGAACTATATTAAGAGGCCACAGCCAAACACAGACAAAAGAAGCAAAAACCATTATCAATTTAACAGAGAACTGAACAATAACTGCGTAGAAAAATAAACCAAACAGATACTGTATCTGTGATTCTGAAGTCGTCCAGTAATAGTTCAAAACCAAAAGAAACAGTTAAGAAATGACATCAGGCAGATTTCACAACTCAACCCTGACATCACCACATGAGAAAACACCTTTGATAATACTGCAATTGACCAAAAATCACATTAGCAATACTTGGGCGATTAGTCAGAGTCCACTCATTTCAGAAAACCAACTGCTTTTCTGTTCAACATCTGCTGTTTCTAACCCTGGAGACATTTAGCACTAACAGGCTTAATTAGAGTTGCACAAAACATGTCTTTCGATCATTACAGCACAGCTCATCTATACAGTTGCTCTAAGTCCTATTTCAAACTTGTTTTTTCTAGAAAAGTCTAAAAACACATCAGATACCATTGATACCAGATCACCTCTTGACATGAGGCTTCAGGTAAAGATCTACTGGAAATTTCATCTCTGTGGAAAAAAAAAAAGATTTGTCCAATCCCGTGCTCTTTGTCAATCTGTAATTGGCTGCAGGCTTCACCTCCCATCATCCTTTGCCCCGGACTGATTTTTCCCCAGGGACAAGACCATCAGGAGCCTAGTGATTAATGACACCAGGGGTCAGAGGTCACCTTGGTGGGAAGTGCTGAGGCTGAGGGCCCCTGAACCACTCCCTAAGTCCTTCCTCCAACCTCCGCTGTGAACACGAGAGCTACGCGGCTGGACCTTCAAACGGCTGGACTTCAGGAAAAAAGGAAGCAGAAAGCCTTTGAAGAATTCATAATGGGAAGAGTGTATGTGTGAGACTGATCCGTATCCTCAGCTTCTGATACCAAGCAGCTTCACAAAATGCATCTATTCCCCTGAAAAACAGATATCTCCTGACTTATAAAAAAATCATAATAAAACAAGTTATTGTACCCAATAAAGAGGAAACCTGTTTTTATTTGTTCTTATGAGAGTGAAAATATTGATTACATTTTAAAGGCTTTGAGAWAAGCATAAAAAGGCAGGCAGTCTGATTGTAAAGCAAACATTCTTTCCAATATAGTTCTGACTTTCAATCTCATTGTGAGCCCACCCTAAAAAAAGGAAAAAAAAAAGGTCATTTCATCTGACCCCAATCCTAATTTTAGCAGGAAACAGCTGTTCGCATTAAAATGGACTCCATAATAAATCAATTGGATGCCCCTGACGCCAGTGGTGGTAAATTAAATATTGCTGACTTCACTTGATGGGCATTCCTTAAATAATTAAGAGACATGGCGACAGCCTTACAGCGGCCAACACACAGGAAATGAATTTTTTACTCAATGAGCACAGGCTGGTGTGAGGTTTCACTGCCACCTACAGTAAAGACAGAAAAAGAAAAGGAGAAAGAAAGAAAACAGCATCARCCATTTGCTGTGTTTGACTGTTCAATATCCTCTAAAAACAGCTGGAYGTTTTATATATTTGATTCATGTCAAAAATTAATAAAAAAGGAGACGGTAATGAAGGAATAAAGGAAAAATACTGTGAAGTGTCTGTATTTGCTGCTTTTAGGAGGTATGGGAGGAGGGATGGAAGAAAGGAAGGGGGAGGTGTAGTGGTAGTTAGCCAGCTGGAGAAAGACTGGATTATGGCTGTAAGGAAGGTGTCAGCCAACACAAACAGCCCCTGGCCTCATGGCAATGTCGGAGTTCTTGAGTACTCACACCCCACCACCCATCYACACCTTCCTCCTCTCCTCCTCCTCTTCTTCTATTCAATCCAAATCACAACATTGACATCAGGGTTATTTCTTTATTCCCTCCAAATTATTCCTGTTTATCTTGAATACATGCATTTAACTTAATATAATATTTGTTAGTAAGAAATATAAATGATGTTTGCACTCTGTATTTCAAAATGTCATTAGGATTAATTACTTGATGACATAAACTGCCAGCAATGTTATTGCTGGTATTTTAAAATAGATTAAGTACGGGTGAAGCAGTATTTATAAATCTCCACTTCAAATAATCTGCTGTAGAAATGGTTTGGTTGTTAGTCCATTAATCTGTCATCTGGTTGTATTAGTGTAACACAACATTAAAAACTGTGTCCCTAGAGAGGACAGCCTGCTTCGTGCAATTCAGCCTTTAAATACCTGTTTAATTTTCAGAGAATAGTAACGGAGAACAGCCCAAATCCTTCATTAACATTGAGCAGAGACACTGACAGGAGAGACGGTGGTCTGGGGTCCACATGCTGGGAGTTTACCTTATGTAGGCAGACCCTGGCTGTTAAGTTTATATGTTCATGCGTCGGGGCCAGCATATTGTCAGGACCCTGCTGTATGCCGGGGCATGTTTGTTTTATTTTTAATGCGCAGACAAGGACATAAAAGGTAAAAAATCCTGGAGTGTATGGAATTTGCTATCTTTAGTGCAGGCAGAGCCACCACTCACGTGACAGACCAATTCATATCAAGTGTTAAGATAGGTCCACTCTATGTAAGGGAAGTTACGGTAAATGTAATGATACACTATAGATACATAGCTATTCTGAGCATGAAGTTTAAGCTACAGCTGGTAGACACACACATACACTTGCACTCATACAGTCATATACAGTATTAATACACACATGTGGAAAGCAAGGGACAGTCATTTCTTAAATACTCTGATATCAGGTGGTTAATCTCCACAGCTCCAGCTGCATCGGAGATGTCTGTTATACTGATAAGGGTGTAATAAATCGTTACTAGCGGGGGGGGGGGGTAGCAAAAATATCATGTCACTTGTATTAAACTGCAATATGGTAAGAAACAGAAACAATTTCTATATCAATTTAAAAATGACTTTAAAAAGAATAAAAACTACATGACAACATGGCTGAGCAACACAAACCAAATCTGTTTGTGCAGACAAGACAATGAGCTATGAATCAAGTTTAGCTGGTTGTAG